TTTCTTTTTGTTTTCCATTTCATATAACCCCAAACCTTCTCTCATCTTTTTTCTTCTCAAAGCCTGTGTATTGATTTCATTTCCTTCCTCAAACATAATCGCAAGTGTTTACAAACATATCCTTCAACGCAAAATCGATATGATATAAATCAAATCAGGCTCATAAAATTGCCCCACCTGTAATCCACCATAGTCCATACCTGTATCAATGTCACGATCAATTCAAAATAAAAGTCGACAACATTTTCTTAGGGTGAGTCAGTAAAAGAACTGATCCAATGCTACAATATTAGATTTTCCATTGGGAAAAAATTAAATTGAAGATGTTTTTCACCCGCCCCCATTGGTGTAACGTTAATCATTTAGGAGGCGCCTTCTTCGACCCTGCCTGTGTGGGTCAAACCAGGCTGAGAGGGTCGCAGTGCCCCAGCATACAAGCAGAGAGAGCGTTCTCGTAAAAAAAAATTTAAAAACCACCTCCACAAATAGGAATCGACCTCTGGTCTCGTGTCTTCAACTTCAAATTACAAGCATCGGAATAACTCATAGAGCAGGTAGCTTTTAAAATACGTCTAATACAGTGTTATTAAATCTATTTCCCCTATAAAAAGGAGCTTAAATTGAAAGCGACCTTCATCCTGCTCAGTCTTACTCAAGCAGACGACGTTCAAACCAGTCGATCAGGTTCTCACACACCTGGCCCTGTCTCAGAATAATTACCGGTATAAGAGGATTACAAGAACGTCAACGCGCAAGAATTTTTTTTTCATTGTTAACTGTAGAGAAACTATTATGCATTATTCTAGTTAAGAAAAAAGCGTGAAAACATATTAGCGCGACAAGATCTTGTTGTGAAGATAATCATTAAAGCTTACCTTAGAAACCCGCGCTGCTTCCGCACACACTGCGACAAAACATAACAACAACACAGACAGGTGAGACTTCCGGTCAGATCTTGGGTTCAAAAACAAATTAAGCTAAAATGGCGAAACCAAACAGCTACGAACCGTCATGTTGACAACAAAAAAACCCGGAAGTTTGAGATGCTGTAGGCTACTTTCGATTTTTGTTGCCACTTGCCACATCAAATTCAAAGAATAATCATGTGAGTGACTAGCTAGATCATGGTCTGTTATAGTCTTCTGTCTGTTTTATTTTTCAGCTAGATCTAGATCTAGATTCTATTAATTTGGTCTTCGTCGTACTGATATAATTTGTTCAAACCCTTGTTCAGGCTCAGGAATAAAGTTTATAAAGAACTTGCTGACAGTTAAAAACAGCGATTGGCGTCTCCTTGCCTTGCTTGCATGCTTGGCTTACTTTGCTGGATAGGCCACTGGATAAAGAAAGACAGAAGAGAAATCCTAGATTTCAAGTATTGGTGTGTGTGTCAATTTATATTTCGAAGTGGCTAGCCGTACTCCTGAGAGTCTAGCCGTACTTAAGTACGGCTAGACTTAGATCTAGATATATCTAGATCTAGATATCTAGATCTAGACTAGATCTAGGTTTGGCCCTATTCGACTCAAATCTGTTAAGTACACAGACAGAGGCTTCATTAGATCTAGATTAGATCTAGAATCTAGATCTATCTAGATCTAGATCTAGAATCTAGATTTAGATCTAGATCTAGTAATTATTCGGGTTCAAATATATGCAAGTCAGTAAGGCATCTTTTGGTTTTGCCTGAAATACAAATACTTTAAAATAGGCATTGCAAACTAAAAGTTTCATTTATAATTCAGCCATCAATATTAAGTGTACGGCTAGCCTGACAGTCTAGCCGTCCTTAAGTACGGCTAGCCTGGCTGTCTACCTGTACTTTAAGTATGGCTAGCCAAGAAGTCTTGACGTATTTAAGTATGGCTAGACTGCCAGTCTAGCCGTACGCCAGTCTAGCCGTACTTATCTTAGGCTCTATTAACGTTAGTGTCATTAGAAAACAGGAGGCAGGAGGTTTAAAATACATGCACTGTCATTAAGGCACCTGGTTTCGTCTCAAATACAAATACTTTAGGTACTGCAAACTAAAAATCTATATTTACAATTCAGTAGGCCTATTTTTTTTTTTATGGTCAGTCTAGCCATCATATTAAGAATTTATATAAGTACAGCTAGCCCAACTGTCTAGCCTCTTCCTTTATATTTTGTGATTTGTGTATTCAGGAATGGTTTTCTAATCAAAATCTTTCCAGAATCCAGCAAGATTTGAATTTATCTAAAATTCTAAAGGCCGTACAGTATTCTGAAATATAAGAAGTTCTTAAAAGTTAAATTAAGTTTACTTTCAGTCAATTTAGAGTACTGTCTTTAAGTGAAGTTGTTTTGTATAATCCCTCGCACTTTATCTGACAAGATGAGCCTACCTACGTCAACTTGATGTGCAGCCGAAATTTGCACCGTCAGTGTAGTGGAGTCAGTTACCACTATGAATAAACCAAGGTCTGTAAACAAACATTCCATCAGCTGGATTGTGTCAGGTGTGAGTGGAAAAATCGTTATAGGGACTGCTGTTGTGGCCCTGTTTATTCTTATTTGCAACTACTTCATGACTCCCTCGAACTGCCACACCTCTGGACCCAAGGTGTGGACTGCAGCTGATGGTTCTAGGTATATTTATTATTTATAAATAACTCTCACATGTCTATCGTCTGAAGTGTTATAAATAATAAGGCCTGTACTCAGATAAAATGCCATATATATATTGTGTTTTCATGAATTTTGACTAGTAGTGTATTTCATCCCTTTGTGGTGTTACAGTCTGTACTAATGTGGAGTCCACTTTTAACTGAACCCAATTAAAATCTAAAAGCGGTAAGCCAAAGGAAATTAAATGCTCCATTTTATTGTTCCTTTCGAGCAACACCTCTTTTAAACCGAAAACCCGACTAAACTGAAGAAAATTAAATGGTCCCCCTTATTTCAGTTTTAGCGGACTCAGTGATTCTATGATCTTGGCCTGTTAACTGTTGATGACGAGTTAATTTGTTTGTCAGATAGTTTCAAGACTTCACTACTTTAAGTTAGATGTGTTACTGTGTCTATATGATTTAATACATTATTATTATAGTCATGATTGATGGTGGGAGGGAGGCTGTTGCACTATCAGTCACTTCTCAAATCAAACTGAGCTCTGAGAAAGAAGAAAAAAAATTGTATGCTTTTTATGTAAATGTAAGTCATAAGTTCTTCATTGATTGCTCCTCACTTTAAAAAGTGTTGCATGTTAAGACATACAATGTGAAGGCTCCTATATGATATTATTCAGGCTTGAAAAAGAGAACTCTTGAAAAAAAAAAAAATGATGGACTGGATGTATTAAAAGACTTTTAGGATCACCTTGGCAAAGCAATCCTGAAACAACAAACTGATCTTGCCCTCAATGGAAAACTGCCTTTTCCTGTGGAATCATATATATATATAGCTCTGAGAAACAAATAAAGTTGAAGTGTACACATTGTTGACATTGAATGATCCTGGGTGAAATGCCTAGAACCAGCTGTATTTGATAAAAAGAAAACTGATTAAGTGCTTGTCTCTGACATTGTGCTATTTCAGCTCTATTATTAAAATTTATTGTTAGCGTACTGTTTTATGTCATATCTTTTGTTTTATTTTTTTATTTTTTAAAATTCTCAGGAACTTTGCAATCAAGACAACCTGGAATGGACAGTGTATCAAACATGAGCCTATGAAGGTTTCCCTTAGTCCTGCTGAGGATGGTGGGTGCATCATGAAGGTCAGCGGCCCATTTTTCAACAGTCCGGCTGCTCCGCAAGGTCCTCCGGGGCCGTTTGATAAGCTGTGGGACTATGAAGGTAGCTGTCCTGTTTATGATCTGTATGTAATTAAATCTGTTTAAAAGAGTACACGCTATGTCCTGAAAAACATTTGAAATTCACATTATGGATCTCCATTTTCCTTATTCATCATTTGTTGATTGAATTACGCAGCTGGTATCACTTTTGCCGTCTCAAACATTCCTTACTTCTTCTCTCCACATGTGTCTGTATACCAGTGCATGCAGTTCATACACGTGCACCCGTGTGCTTTTATAGAAAGTGGATGGCCAGTGTGTGACTGATGTTTGTTTGTGAAAGTGGCATGCACTTATTGTTGGCTTCCTGGCACCTTTTATCATTGTTGCAAGCAATCCACTGAAGTCCATTTGGGTATTTTTTACACCAGAGGCAAAAAAATTGTATTTGTAGTGTTGTTCCTATCAGGAGTCGTGAAAAGCAAGAAAATTGTTAGCCTTGACCATAGCATTAATTAAACTGTATTTTGGTGATGTTGAAAGGTGCATCTTTGATAGAGGTTTGGGAGGGTGTAAAAATTTAAAATTCTCTCAATTCGGACTTTGGTGGATTGCTTTCCGCAGCGATGATATTGTTAGTGAGCAGTGTATTTCTATGGGGAAGTTGGCAGTGTACTACTGAGGGGTTTTATTTGTCTTAGAGGTATTTTTCTCTTCACACATGGCCTGACTAAACAAACAGATGAGATTGATGGGGGGAGGGGGGGGGGGGGGGGAGAGATGGCATATGTGTCAGCATTAAGAAGCTCTTACTATAGTACTAAATTATTCCAGGCTTTGATTATGAAAATAAAATGGGGTTTTTGTGGTGTATACATATATACCCTGAAATTGTGTGCTGTTCTAGATTGTCTTGTCTACTTGCATGAATCTTTCGATTAGTTATAGCTGTGTCTCAAAGATACACATGCAATATACATATATATGTATGTAATGGATAAATTGTTTACTTTCAGTTGTCGAGGCTTTTTTCCTGAATGACAAAGACCAGTATCTGGAGGTGGAACTTGGCCCGTAGGTTGTTTGGTTTTTTTTAGATTTTTATCGTGGCTTTGGCTTTGCGAAAAGGATTGTTGCAATGAATGTTCTAGTATGCATAAAACTTGCCATTGTATAAGCTGTCGAATTCTTATGTCATTGTGAAGTGCCTTGAGCCACTAGGAAATAAGAGCTTTATAAGTGATCGTTATCTTTGTAATTTTATTAAGAACCAATGAAAAAAATGTATTAGACAATATAAAGTATGATTCAACTGTGCTATGAACCTTCTCTCACTTGCTTCTAGTCAATAATAGTATTGTTGATAGAGCTGTAGCTCATTTCCCATGTCCTGGTACACTTTGTCTCCATGTTGATTCAAGTATTCAGATGAGAATTTGTTATTAAAGGGAGGGATGGTGAGGCAGAAATGTTGTTTTTTCCTTAAACGACAGTATTTCATGAATGTGCAATAATATACTGACTTTCCTTTCCACAGTTTGTAAGTCAAATCCATTTTTTTTTTTTAAGTTCTGATTCAAAATTCGATCTTGAAAAGGCCCATTACACTCTTTTCATGTTCTAAGCATCGGTATGTTTTCCATTTTGTTAAAGTTAAAGGTTCTGTCGAAAACTGCACTTCTATGGTATCTTGGTTACTTTCATTCTTCAGGCTTATCTCGTTTTGGTATTGCATATGGCTTTACATTTAGGTCGGTGGTGTGTTTGCTAACCAGCAACAGAACTACATCTATCCTAATATTTGCCTATAGAAACATCAGTAACAATAATATTGCCAAGAGTCTGTTTGATTTCCATGTTCTTATCTCTCTAAATTGCCTTCTATTTTTTGTTTACTGTCACAGGCATGGACACCATCTGCTTCTGATGCTCAATGGACAAAGAAATGCTGTGGAGGTTGGACTTGCTTGATATTAAAATTCAAAAGTATTCATTGCATAGTTGCCACAATTTTTTCAAGATTCTTTTCAAGACAATTTTGTTCCCTGAATAAAAAGAATTAAATAGTAAAGAAATCTTGAACATTATTTTGTCAAAAGCTCCTTTGTGCTGTTTTAGGTTTTGTTCTTGAATTTCATGGCAGGCAGTTTTCAAGCAAGATTGTATTGTCCAGTATGTTTTCAGTTCTATGCACTTTGTTTAATAATTGAATTTTGTTTCACCCTTTGAACATGAACCTTTAAGATTGAAAATTGTTAGTATGAATGCATGTGTTCTCGGCACAAGAAAAAAGCAGTGCTTATCCTTTTTGCTGAATGAGTAGAGCTTGGAATCATAGGGTCTAGTTAAACTGTTTTCTAGCTATGATATGTATCACAAGATCAGTGGTGTCGCGTGGGTTGCAGACAAGGTGGTGCATAATTGGAAAGTGAGCAAATGGGCAAAAGGCTTATTAGCTACTATTACTGCTATTAAGATTTCTAGAGAAAGTCAATTAAAATATGCAGGATATCCCGTAATCTACATCTATCGATATTTACAACTGTTTCTAGATGAAACCGCATAAAAGTTTCAATAAAGTGAAACAATACTAACAACTCACTATCCTCACAATCTGAGAAGATTTAACGATTTCTAATTACTTCATGTAGCAGTAGGACTTGCTACACAATAGAGGGAGACAACAGTTTCGATACCCATTCTTCATTAAGTTACCGTAGACTCTAATAGTGTAGTAGATAGGCTAGTGGAAACTGGGATCAAATTTTTAGCTTGCACCAAATTGGTGCTGCGAAGAGCAGTTTCATGCACCTTTCTTCTTGTGCGGGAAGAACGATGCCTAGATTTCTCTACAGTGACAAAAATAACTTTGGTGCAAAAATTTTGCTTGCTCCCAGCAGACACAACTGCAAGCGGTGCGACAAACATAGACCCTCCTCACCGTCTGTCTCTTCACTGGCGCAGCCAGCGGGGGACGGATCGCAAAGATGTAGTTGGCCTAATGTAGATCTAGAGCACTGACTGGTTTAGAACAATTACAAAGGGGGGGGATGAAGGCAAGGGTTAGGTGAAGCGCGCTTGCACCAATTGCACCAGTGGCACCGTGCCACTGCACTAGATGTTTCTTGTATGCAAAGTTGTTCTTACATTCTTGTAACTTCCTTGCTCAGAAGATGTATTATTGAGTGTTCTCAAAAGGTTATAATATAACTCTTTTAAGTCAGTGCAATCTACCAAAATTTTCTTTATGCCGTTTTTTATGTTTATCGGTCTTTGAAAAAGTCTGTACTGTGTGGGGTTTTTATTTTCACTCTTTTAGATTGAGAAGTAATCAGACACTATATTTGGGCTGGTTGAAAATATAATACTATTGTGTAATTGGAATGTATAATGTACATCCGCCAGACCAAGCTCCCTCTGACATACACTGCTGAGATCTACGGGGACCAGTGGGAAGGAAAGGCAAGCATACCGCTGTCTTACTTCCCCCCAGGAGTGACTAAGTTCAACGCCTATGCCATCCATGGAGAGGGCGATAACAGAATCTATGAGTCTCTTTACCCGGCGAAGAATACACCAGCTCCTGATTTGTAAGTACTAAATTTCCTTTTATCTATTTGTGATGCAGCGTGGTGGAATCAGGCTCTCGTCAATTTTTGGGCATGTAGAGTTATTGGTATCATCTTAAAGCTTGTTTACTTGCCTTTATTTGGATGAAAAAATGTCCATTTATCTTGAATACAAGTCGAGATATTTGCGAAAGAAGGAGGTGGGGGTCACCTGTTTTCAGATGTAAAATTAGTGAAAAAATGGCCGCCAAAGATTAGTTATTTTCTTAGCTTAAGAGTCCGTGGTAACTGAAAATTTACTTTTTTTGTGCTTTTAATCTACGTTTTTCAGAAAAATCCACACAGAAATGAGTTCTTTAATGGGCATGAAAGGTGTTGAGCCAAAAAAAACAAAAATTTGATAAAAATTCACAAACCTGCGGAAAAATGCAAGTTTCTTCATTTTTATTATTTTGACGAGAGCCTGATTCCACCACGCTGCCTCACATTTATCTCCAGAGGGGTTTTTCCCCACTATGCCAAAACTCTCTTTTGGCACAAGACCTGAAAGTGACACACATGTCACTAAATTGGTCGTTAGAATTAAATCAAAAGAAATGAACCTATTTTGATAGGTCTTCATCTAATGGAAAAACTCACAAGAGAAACCTGTTTTCAGCAAGTGCTGAATATTTATATCGTTTTTTCAGATCAAATGTACACTTACACACCAACAAGCACATAAACAGAATCAACCCCATGTGGGAACCCCATTGCAGACACTGTGACTTCCACAAGGAGACCGTTGAACATCTTCTCCTTCACTGCCCAAACCTGGCAGTTCTTCGACGCGGGCTCCTACACACACCTACAGACTTACAAAGCCTGCTCTACTCTGGCATTGACCAGATGACAAGGACATGTGGTTACTTGAGGGAGGCATTGTGCTGCCAAGAGCGAAATGCTCGCAGCTAAAGGGATTTGAATACAACAACACATAGGAAATACAAATGCCACATAGCAAGTTCAAATGTCACATAGAAAGTTTCACGCCACATAGAAAGTTCAAATGTTCAATAGGAAATTTTAGTGCACAATTGTGCGTAACAAGTTCAAATGTACAAATAGCAAATCCAAATGCAACACAATTGTAAGTTCAAATGCCACATAGCAAAATCAAATATCCTCCACAAAGATTATTCAGCGTGAAAAGCATTTTAATGTGATCAAACCGAGTTGACGACAAACATAAGCAGTTTAATTTTAAGGTAGATTGATCACCATTTAAAAAATCCAGAGGATGCTCCCGTCGAAAGAAATTCAGTTAGGACTGAAGCAACTAGATGTCAATATGCTGCATGGCTGATGCAGAACATTTAGCGGTATGAACTTGCCTTTATTAAGGAGGCTGGTAGCTAGCTGTTGACGAAGAGAAACCAATGAAGAGCATGGGGTGTTCAATGCTTTTTTCGAGTAATGTAGGGTCGAAGGGGACCGAACCGCACGATGCCATAGGGGCCTAATTAGCTGTCGGTGACGAGGGTGGCCTGGTCTTTCACGACTTTCAAGTAGAGGGAATGGCAGCTTTCGTTTCAACCCATCCCTCTAAGAAACTGTTCCAACAATCCCCACGAAGAAGTATGCTTCGTATGTAACAAAGCTCGTGCACAAAGGCAGGTTTTACATGGCAACTCATCCATAGGTTGGGGAAGAAATATTTACCCCCTACACACCTTTTCTTAACATCTACGAAAACGCGTGTGAATTTGGAAATAAGATTTGAAACCATGACTCGGGGAAACAAAAGACCAAATACTCACTCATCAATAAAAGATAGTCACACTTGCCCAGATAATGGAACAAAAAACATAAGCTGTGACTATAGTGAAAATGGCAGCAGCCTTCAGATCAAAGCAAGCCTATAAGCCACAGCGTTTTGTAGTGCAACAATAAGTAAATAAAAGTAAACTTGGCTTTAGATTTCACTCAGTTAGTTCTATAATATTATACCAGCAGTATGTTGATTTGTATCATAACCATTCGTTTCTGTTAAATATGTGAGTTTATTGTCGGTTTTTAACATAATTTAACTGTTAGTTTCGTTTCACATGATTTCTTCCTTGTGGCACCACACGGCTTACGTCTAACCTTTTCGTGGCCAAACCCCCCCCAACCTTTTACTTCTTACTTTGATACACTTCTTATACTTTTAGCCTCCTTTTTAGTTTTAGTAAGAGTTTTACGGCACTTGCAACACAATAAGGTCATATAAGTGCCAAAGATTAGAGGTGTTACAAGAGAGTAACAGGCACAAAAAAGTAGGAGGACATCAGGATGATAGATTTTAGATATGAAAGAAGGAGCAAACCACACCAGAGCACCCGCCAACCACCCACTTAGCCTCCTTTTACTCAAGTTCTAGAATATTATTTACCTTTGAACTTGCTATGTGGCATTTGAATTTGCTATGTGTTACATTTGAGATTTTTATGTTTACATTTGAACTTGCTATTGTTGTATTAGGACTTTTTATGACGTCATTTGTATGTTTGGATTTGCTTGGTGTAATTTGGTCTTTCTTTGCGGTCTTTGAATTTGTTATGTGTATATTTGAACAAAAAACTATATAACATAACGTCATCGTAAAGTAATGTAACCGAGCCGCTGCCAGCGACGTACCAGCACAGCGAATCCGACCGCAAGCCCCTGGGAGCGACTTGCTGGAAATAAAGAGTTAAGGCAAGCAAAGAAGGTTTTAAGTTTTAGCAGACTATTTATTAGGATGCTGTGTACTTTATTAAAAGTTTTTAAAAGAAGACCTTTTTTTTTTATAAAGGTAGTTCAGTATAGAGTGTGATCCTACAGAGTACAATGTACAAGTGAAAAGATCTGATTACGCATGTCGTCAGTGATACAGTACAGTAAACTCTGCTGTTCACTCTGTTGAAATCTTTCTAAGGTCGACATTTCCAAATTGAATGCATACCTGAGAGGTCCTACAAGAAACTCTAGTGGATAATAAGAGAGGATGCAATAACGACCATTAATAACAAGCAGTACAAACACCATAAAGAGAATCGCCATCTGTGTTGTAGCAGTTGGGCATAAATTTGATTCCCATTTGATGTTTTTATCAAGTATCTCCATCTGTCTGCCAGGACATTCATTATATCCTCAGCCTAGGTTGGCTCTGATTGGCAGGGTTGAAGCAACCTGCCTCCTAAATTATCTAAAATGTGTCAATGGGAATGTAAGACAACTCGAATGATAATTACTGTAAAGAGCTTATAAAGGCCGAATTGTTTGTGATAAATTGGATTATCAGTTTAGGCTTGTCACATTCTGAATGTTCAGCGTTTGGTTGATATACTTGGTAGAGCAGGACTTTTAAACAATCCAGGGCTACAGTGGAACGGAGAAGGCAAAAAATGTAGCTTGACTCTCAAAATACCAAACAGTGCAGACCATTGCACTCAGACTTCAAATCTCTATATTTGAAATGTGGAAAATATTGTAGATCCAAAGCAGACCTTGTAACCAATAAGTTCTTGTCTGGCTTAAACCACAATCAAAGTCATCATCAGTATCGATGGACAGTGGTAGTAAGAACATTCTATCCGTACTGTGTGTAAGCCCTAGACATTCAAATAAAAAATATATATATTATATGATGCAGTCTTTTTCACAAAAGTTTTTATTCTTTAACTCTTTATCTCTGAGGAGGGTATACCCACGATGCCGGGGCCCTTTTATGGAACTAAATCTGAAAGTGACGAAGGCATCACTAATTTGGTCATTAAATTGAAACAAGTTTTGATAAGTTTTTCATTTACTGAATGAAATCCCGATAAAAGAGACCTGTTTTCGGCAATTGCCAAAAAGTTATTTGATGTTGAAGTCATCGTAAAGAAATGTGCCGGAGCCGCTGTCAGTGGCTCACTGGCACAGAAGTTCCGACCGCGAGCCGATGGGAGCGGCTGACTGTAAATAAAGAGTGAAGACTTTTTAGTTACATAACCATTTAACCCAATAATATTTAAAAGGAAGTCTATCGCTATCGATATCAGATAAGTGTTGTGTTCATTTACTTTCATATTTTGCTTTTGTTTATTCTGTTTTTCTTCAGCCATCGACTAGAATTTTTTGAGCCTCTGGACATGACCAAGATTGTGTACAACTACAACCCTGATGAGATTTCTGAAAAGTGGAAACCTTATGAGAAGAGTTAATGATGTCACAGAGTGCTGGAATCTTCTTGATGGTGTTGTGGAAAAGTTTCTTACATTATTCTAAAGCTGTACACTTGCTCTTACTTAATCAATGGGGGTTTTTTGTCTGTAAATTTCTTATTTTGATTTTGTTTGTTGCCTTTGCAATTCGACAAGTGCAATGCAATTTGTTACTGCTATGGTTCAAACATGAGATGACTTTTGATTCGGCTTGAAATCCTGAATTTGTGCTTTAATTTTAATAAAATATTTTGAAGAGGATAATTTTACTCCCATTACAGGAATAATGATTGAGGTATTTCAGTTAAACAGCAAATTTCTTTTGTGAGACATTATGTTAAGTATTTCAGATGTCCTGGAGCTTCAAATTTGAAATTGTGATGTTTACCCAAATTATTTTGTCCAATTAATTCTTGTGGCTCTTCAGTTTTGATGGAAATATTGTTTTCATTGTAAGAGCTTAATGTGTAAACGGTCCTAAATCAGCAAAGTCACTTTAGTTTCGTTTTGTTTTAAGTGTATATTTTTCCCACTGTTGATCTTTCAGTAAAGAAAAATTACAGAATCAATGTACACAAGTGCAGCAAAAAGAGTTTTTCTGCCAATAACCATTCCATATTATAAGTCTTTGAAGTATCAAAGCTCTTTTTTTGAGGATCGTATGCACACCTACCACAGTTTGCTTGTTTATAAAATATCACTTATATGTGTCATGATGCGATGGAATCGGACTCTCATCAATTTTTGGGCTTGTAGAGTTATTGGTATCATCTTAAAATTTGTTCATTTGTCTTGCTTTGGACGAAAAAAATATCCTTTTATCTGAAATAGAAATCGAAATATTTGCGAGTGAAGGAGGTGGGGGGGTCACCTGGATTCAGAAGTAAAATAAGTTAAAAAATAGTTGCAAAAGATGAATTAGATCTATTTCCTTAGCTTGAGAATCCGTGGAAAATGAAAATTGACATTTTTTGTGCCTTTGATTAACATTTTTCAGTAAAATCCACTCAGAAATGTGTTCTTTAATGGGCATGAAAGGTGTTGAACCAAAAAAGGAAAATTCTATAAAAAATTCACATTCCTGCGAAAAAAAGCCAGTTTCTTCACTTTGATTATTTTGATGAGAACCTGATTTCACCACGCTGCCTCACATTATATTAGTTCAGCAGTGAGTAGACTTATTGACTTTTGTTTTCATTTTTAAATGAAATGGTACAAGTAAGAAATTATTGTATTTTTATATACCATGTGCAATTGTTATGAATCTGCAAGTTCAATATTTTTCATTACAAGGGTGCCATTACTACAAGTGCTATTTTATTGCTCGCTCAGTCACTTTGTAAGCTGTCTTTCTGTTTCTGAGAGCATTTTGAGAGAAGACAGATTCCTAATGGATAATAAATGAACTCATGAATTCTTTATTATATTTCTTGTTATATTATATATAAAAACGAATTGCCTCGCAGAGAGATGTGCTTGAGGTAAGGTCAACTTTATATGATTTCACGATTAAATAAATTCTTTTTAAAAACTTGTTACTTTGGTTCTGATTTTTTTCCCATTTTGTAGGTTGTATTGCACTCAGAACGATATGAACATTATGGGCCTTGTTTTCATGTTTGGTAAACAATGTAATGTAATGTGGTGGCTAAGCTCAGGACCAGTCAAAAAGAAAATCAGGACTGATTTTTCTCTGTAAGAAAAGTCCCACTGGCAAGATTATAATATTCTAGCATTCTGAAGAATCTATGTTCATCTGTGGTTGTTTTAATTTTGCATTAAAAATATTGAACATTGAACAATAGATTGTTTCTGACTGCATGCTTCTGGGACTGTAGGCTAGATTACAATTTCACCCTTTCCATCATGTGTCGCAGCGCAGAATGAGAGGAGGAAGAGGGAAGGGAAAGCTTTTGTAACATCAACGTTTTTGATTTCAAAACCAGACAACTCGCTTGAAAAACAAACATGTTGTATCATGACAGTCCAGACGAAACAGGGCAAGGTCAGGGATAAGATTGTCACAATGTGATGCTAGCTGAAACTTACTTACATATGTTTATTAAATATATATATTTATGTGTATGTAAGAAAACAGCTTTCGCTTCTTCTGTCTCCACAACTTTCTTACAGCCTGGTGCCTTAATTAATGCAGGATCAAGCACCCTAGCTTTGAATGAGCTGGCATGCTGCTTCTCTCTCTCTCTCTCTCTCTCTCTCTCTCTCTCTCTCTCTCTCTCTCTCTCTCTCTCTCTCTCTCTCTCTCTCTCTCTCTATCTATCTATCTATCTATCAATCTATCTCTCACTCTTTCTCTCTTTTTCTCTTCCCCCCGCTCTCTCTCTCTCTCTCTCTCTCTCTCTCTCTCTCTCTCTCTCTCTCTCTCTCTCTCTCTCTCTCTCTCTCTCCCTCCCTCCAACCCTCTTTTTTTATCTCGCTCTTTCTCTCTTTTTCTCTTTCCCTCTCTTGTTTTCATTCTCCCTCTTGCTTACACACCTGCGCGCGCACACACACACACACACACACACTCACACACACACACACAAATAATTAGAACTCGTGTCCTTCTCCAAGCCCATCCTCTTAATCGCTAGTGACGAAGTGCATGCAGAGGATATAAACATTAAACACACCATCTTACATGTAGCCTATGTTGGATATGTCCGCCCAGTCCTGGAATATGGTATCGCAGCGTGGGGAACAGCATCGGACAGCAACTTCCACAAAGTAGGGAGAATCCAGAATCAAAATCTACGGATCATCACGGGAGCAATGAGATCTACGCCCATTCATGTCATCGAGACACTAACTAGGCTAGAACCCCTGAACGACAGACGCAATCTGAAAGCGATTGTTCATCAGGAAAAGGTCAAAAGAATGCCACCCACCAATGAAGGATAGATCTCTAAAAACCAGAGCAAACGCTTAAATAGAACAAGCTTCCTCCATATGGCCAGACACTCCAGCTGTGGACTCGAAATATCTCTTGAAGAATTTCCAACCCCACTAGACCCATGTCAAGTCCACCCTTTCTGACCAATCACCCCCCTCAAATTCGAGAGAACCAAGAAGAGCTTGGCACCAAATCTGAAGTCTCTCCTCCAATACTCAAGTCACTGACACTCGACTACCTGGACAGAAACTTCCCAAGCAACCGGTGGAATCGAGTTTACACATACATATTATAAATGGATCAGGTACTGATGCCGTCAGAAACGGCGGTACTTAGAGTGGATAGATGAGTAAACAGAGAGCCATTCCATCCCCACAGGATCGCTATCTTCCTATTACAAAGCAGAAACATCAGCACTCGAAACAGCAACCACTATTCTCTTTTGAATCACCAAAAATCTAAAGCAAACACCGTCATCCTCACAGATGCCAAATCTGTTCTACAAACCCTCCAAAAGCCACAATCTGCTCAAGTACGACAATCCCTTTCACTCCTCTGTGATCTAAACTCCCAAGGGGGCTCTTGTGGACTAGAGGTTAAGGTGTTGGCCTCTCATTCAAAGGTCCCGGGTTCGAATCCGGGTTGTACAGAAACATTTTGTTTCCTAAAACTTGTCCCCTTACATCTCCTTTCCTGCTCTCTAGCAATGTTCTGTTGTCTGCTTTCGTCTCCACTTTCTGCCCCCACCCCTCACCCCCTTTGCCCCCTCCTCTGGGCTCTTGACTCTTTCTGCCGCCTTTCTACTGCTACTCCTTGGCTTCTTCTTACTGCTGTCTTTCAGCCACACCCCTGATCTTCTGGTAGGAAAGATCTGCATCTAGCCTTCTCGGACAAGGGCGAAAAATCTCGGGAGGGCCCGTGTGCAAGCTGCGCACGTTAAAGATCCCGTGGGCTTCGGCCGCCACCTGGGTAAAATTCAAAATTTCCTATCAACTAAAAAAGTTTAGTGTGTCCAGCCCGCTCTTATGACTTTATGCAGTTGCGGACGCCGTAAAACACTTACAGAAACAAAACAAACTCCCAAGCCAACACAACTCTGCAGTGGATACCAGGTCACTGTGGTGTTCATGGAAATGAAAAAGCAGACGGCTTGGCCAAAGAAAGAGCCAAAATGACCCAGATTGAGAATGGCATTCTCAGAGTCGAAAACGCTAATAAAATCTTCAATAAGAAACAGATGGAAAAGATCCCACCCTAATCATAACAGACGTGACCCCTATTATATGCTCAAAAGAGCAGACCTGGTCACAATATTTCGATTCCTGGCCACAACAGATTCAAACACCATATGCACACTAAATTAAAAGTGGGAGAGTCCGCGATCTGTGAATGTGGACACGGCCATGGAGAATGCCAACCATATCCAACAGCACTGCGCGCGCTACGCCACCCTTCGTACACATGTGACTCCTCTTGAGAGAAAGTTCTATGGCAGTCTCTCAGATTTGAAGCAGACTGCACAGTTTGTGCACGACATCGGACTGACTGACTAGCTGGTGTCATCGGGAACAAGGAAGAAGAAGAAGAATTAAACTTGTCATGAGTATCCCACAGCAAAGACAAAAACTGCATCTCAAACACCTCTTTGATCCCAAAAGGCTAGAAGGGACAGCAAAAGCACAAACACTATCCAGTTGAAAATAAGCCCAGTGGTCTCCCACAAGGGTGGTTATAAAAATTAATTATCCAAGACTGAAGTTGTGATTTCTTTTGCATCAAGTCGAGCGTGCATTTATCGGACAAAATAATTTTTTTAAAGTCTGACCACGTCGGCGTCAGTGGTGTCACATTTAAGTTCTTTGCCACTTCAAACTGAAGACAGGAGCTCAATTCTCAAGTCGCTACCTAAGAATAACAAAGTAACAGTTCTGTCTGCTCAGTAGGGTAGGCCTACCTAGTTTTGAGAAATGTGACGTAAAAAAAATTTAAGTTTCACATGTCAAGTTTTTTTCGAATGCATTTCTTTGATTTTGAATATCTCGATAAATACTCCGATTATTACCTGTATAATCTTACGATTTTGATAGAGCAGACAGAAATTTGGCTTTTGACCTCATGGTAGTAACTTAAAACGGCCAAGAATGTCAAATAGAACTTTGTAATTCTAAGGTAGTAGAGTGGGGAAGTTTGGTTTCCGAGTACATGTATCTCTGTCAACTTTGATAATGTATCCCATTCAGCCCGGACTGCCCTGACAGGCAGAGTCGATGCAGCCTACCTCATTGATGATTTGCATTTGTGACGATGGGGGCGTAGGATGAATACAATTACATTTCATAGGTCTGGACCGCGTTCGATCTTGGTACAGTGTATGATCGGATCTGAGAGAAGATCAGAACAGCCGCTAGCCAGTACACAGAGGTTTAGGCCTCTGTAGTTCCATCACCCGTTTTTGGTTGTTGTTGTTGTTTGTTTGTTTGGGGGTTTTTTGGGGGGGGGATGGGGTGGGGGGTTGTTTGTTTGTTTGCTTTGGAGAGGGGTTATTTTATTTTGTTTTTATTTTGTTTGTTTTAGTTTGTTGTTGCTTTTTAAAACACATTTGTCTGTCGCCGCTATTCGCATTAACACTTTTTCACCTGGAGCGAACGTGGCCGGCCTTCAATGCTAGAGCCAGCCAGCGTGTAATGCGGCTCTTCATAACCTGGCCTAGATACAGGTGTGTACTTACCTATCAATCTCTTGCAAGGAGTTTGTAGTAAGGTCTTGATCTCAAGCCATCATTAAGGTTAGCTTATAATCCCTAAAGTACTCGTAGGCCTATTTTTTAAGTACGTGTACCATGTGCTGTTGTTTGTTTGTTTTTGTTTGGGTTTTTTTTACTAGCAAAAGTAGTTTCTGCTTTCCCAAACTTATTAACAAAATGAAATGCTGTTCAGAGATTCATGGAGATGCCATATCATAAAACTTCATGACTACATGTGACACTAAGCATAGTAGGCTTTTAATCTACCTTGTTTTTTTGCATAGCGGGTAGCTAAAATTAATGTTAAATTTTTACCTATTCTCAATTTTTCCAGATGCCCCAGAACTGGAGAAATTACATTCCGTTCCAGCCTTTTCTTAAGAATATCCACATTTCCTTTTACCTATTAGATTTATCAATCATCATCACCC